AACAGTGTCTGTGAAAACAACTAAAAACACTGTATTATGCATTCCAGGCCATTAGTTGGCGACGTCAATTTGTAAAGAAACACTACGCCCCTATAGACTGTACATGTAATACGCATGAGTATGACGTCACCGTTTTCACAAATTCATGTTTTTGTAGTTTATACGGAAATGGTAACGTTTCAAAAAACGTACACTTTGAATCATGTTTTCAAAAGGGTTTAATTTGTTAACATTAGTCAACTACATGTTAACATTAGTTAACTACACGTAAATCTCAAAATGTACAAAAATTGTTATTAATCAACATTACTAAAGATTAATAAACACTTTAAAAAGTGTGTTAGTTGATGAATTAACTAATGATAAGAAATGAAACATGTAAACTGTTACCAATGTATCTTTATTGACCCCTTTCATTTTGGATAGCTTATAAGGTGCTCTAAGCGATGCCACACGTTTTTTTAGGTTGTAACATATACAGCAAATGTCTCCTCACTATCCGCTTGCTGCCTGTCCCCTAAACACACTGTAAAAAAAAAAAAAAACGAGGTCTATGCAGACAACCCAGGCTCCACAAATGGCAACAAAAACAAACTGCCGCAACCCGCTCCACGAAACATAACAAACTGTTCCAGCCAATAACTAACAAGAAGGCCCTGGGAGTGGGGTTTGGGGGGTTGATGAGGCAGATGAGGAGGAGGGAGGGTCTATCTAGCCTCCGTTTTGTTTGAAAATACTTTAAACGTCATCAAGAAGTCACGTACCCCGACATCGCTTAGAGCACCTTTAAATTAACTTGTTTCAATCCATTTTGGGATTACATTATCCATGAAGGATATATGTGATACTGTCTTAGAATTTGGCAAAAGCAACATAATATTAGAAATATGATCACTTTAAAATGCTGTCTATAGGCAGCAGGTTTGGTTTTGTAACAGATCTGTTTATTTTAAGGTATTCACCCCCCCCTAGATTTATCGAAAACTTTGTGATGTTCTGTTGCATTTGTTCATTCTAGTTTTGGTGTAGAGAGTTTACTTTAACAGTCCTTCTTTGCACCTTCTTTGTGTCACAGTAGCCAATAGCCAGACAGAGACATTGCTAAAACTTGCCCAAGTTTTTGTTTGCTTGGGGAGAAAGTTTGTGAAATATGTTCTTAAACTGTCTGGCCTGCAGCGATGCCAAGTTCAGAGAAGTTCAGAGAACTAGCTCCTCAACAAGGTGATGCAATATTCATTCTCAGCCATCCTCTTTCCTAAACAGATAAACTGTTGGTACATAGTCAGAATTTGAAAAATTTGAACAAAACATTTCAGCTTTTTCAGTCCAAGACCTGCCCAGTTTGACTGTTTGAGCAACGCATAGAGTGAGTTCATTACATTGTTTACATGTCGTTTAGTAGAAACTGTATAGACTTTCTATAATAATTTAAAGCATTTGGATGACATAGTTTCAGATCAAACAGCCATAACTTGGAGAACAGAGCAGAATTTGCCATTTTGTTTGTGCATACAGTGAGGAAAATTAGTATCACCCTGCTATTTTGCAAGTTCTCCCACATAGCAATCATGGAGGGGTCTGAATTTGTCATCATAGGTTTATGTCCACTGTGAGAGACTTAATCTAAAAAATCCATAAATCACAATGAATGATTTATTTTATACAGCTGCAAATAAGTATTTGAACACCTGAGACAATCAATGTTAATATTTGGTACAGAAGCCTTTGTTTGTTTCCTGTAGTTTTCCACCAGGTTTGCACAAACTGCAGGAGGGATTTTGGCAGACTCCTTCACACAGATCTTCTCTAGATAAGTCAGGTTTCTGGGCTGTCACTGAGAAACACAGAGTTTGAGCTCCCTTCAAAGATTCTCTATTGGGTTTAGGTCTCGAGACTGGCTAGGCCACGCCAGAACCTTGATTTGCTTCTTACAGAGCCACTCCTTGGTTATCCTGGCTGTGTGCTTCGGGTCATTGTCATGATGGAGGACCCAGCCTCGACCCATCTTCAATGCTCTAACTGAGTGAAGGAGGTTGTTCCCCAAAATCTCGCAATACATGGCCCCGGTCATCCTCTCCTTAATACAGTGCAGTCACCCTGTCCCATGTGCAGAAAAACACCCCCAAAGCATGATGCTACCAACACATGCTTCACAGTAGGGATGGTGTTCTTGAGATGATACTCATCATTCTTCTTCCTCCAAACACGGTTAGTGGAATTATGACCAAAAAGTTCTATTTTGGTCTCATCTGACCACATGACTTTCTCCCATGACTCCTCTGGGTCATCCAAATGGTCATTAGCAAACTTAAGAAGGGCCTTGACATGTGTTGGTTTAAGCAGGGGAACCTTCCGTGCCATGCATGATTTCAAACCATAACGTCTTAGTGTATTACCAACAGCAACCTTGGAAATGGTGGTCCCAGCTCTTTTCAGGTCATTGACCAGCTCCTCCCATGTAGTTCTGGGCTGGTTTCTCACCTTTCTTAGGATCATTGAGACCCCACGAGGTGAGATCTTTCATGGAGCCCCAGTCCGAGGGAGATTGACAGTCATGTTTAGCTTCTTCCATTTTCTAATGATTGCTCCAACAGTGGACCTTTTTCTCACTAAGCTGCTTCGCAATTTCCCCATAGCCCTTTCCAGCATTGTGGAGGTGTACAATTTTGTCTCTAGTGTCTTTGGACAGCTCTTTGGTCTTGCTCATGTTAGTAGTTGGATTCTTACTGATTGTATGGGGTGGACAGGTGTCTTTATGCAGCTAACAGTCTCTAAAATGTTCATCTAATTTAGGATAATAAATGGAGTGGAAGTGGACATTTTATAGGCAGACTAACAAGTCTTTGAGGGTCAGAATTCTAGCTGATAGACAGGTGTTCAAATACTTATTTGCAGCTGTATCATACAAATAAATAATTAAAATCATACATTGTGATATCTGTTTTTTGTTTTGTTTTTTTTTAGATTAAGTTTCTCACAGTGGGCATTAGGGTTGGGTATCGAGAATCGAGTATCGATTGGAACCGGGACTAACTTTTTGTTTTTCCCGGAATCGTTCAAAAGTTAAAATTTCGATTCCTAGTTTCGATATTCAAAAAAAAAAAAAAAAGTTTCGAAATTCACAGTCCACTGAGCGGAAGAAGAAACCGCTGAACAACACCAGCGAAGAAGCGTCTACCAGAAGTGTTGGCATAACCACGCGAGTCGAACATGAGTACCTTACGTCGGCGATCCAAAGTGTGGCTTCACTTTTCTAAAAATAACGAAATCTCGGCAAAATGCAAAATTTTATTTTACAGAAGGAGTATTTCCTTCAGAAAGGATTATTTCCTTCAGAAAGGCCGTTGGTTAGCAAGGTTAGCTAAACTTTTTTGACCCTGCCTCTTAAAAGAATCGGAATCGAGAATCGTTAGGAACCGGAATCGAAATAAGGATTCGGAATCGGAATCAGAATCGTTCAAATTCAAATGATACCCAACCCTAGTGGGCATGCACATACGATGACAATTTCAGACCCCTCCATGATTTCTAAGTGGGAGAACTTGCAAAATAGCAGGGAGTTCAAATACTTATTTTCCTCACTATATATAGTTTAATTGCTGTTAAGTGCACAAATAGCCTGCGAACTTTAAATTTATCTTCTCATTGATTCTGCCTTAGTAAATCTCATTTGGTTTCTAGTTATACAAAATAACCTGTATGGCCTTACTCTGGAAAGTTGTACAAAGTCAGCCAATCAGATAAAACACGCTAGATTGAGATGTTCAGATGGTCAGTGAACAGACTGTGTGTGGTCCATGGCCTGTGGCTGAGGCAATTCAGTACAGCACAATCTTGACTACATCAATGATTTAAAATGCTTGAGAGGGAATTTATATTGAAATAAATTCTCTTGCAGTCTTTTTGGATTCCTTTATGCATGCATTTAATTTTCCTTTATTTTGTCATGGAATTGGAGTCTAAAAAGCCAGTAAAACAGCTTACTTCCCACAGCACACACACACACACACACACACACACACCAGTGTAACTGAGTACAGTAAGTAAGTCTTATCATGTTACATCCGTGCTTGTATTGAGTTTCTCTCTGGTGGGCTCAAGGTCAAAGCCTTTTGGATACAGTCCCCCACTCAAACTCAGACAAACGGAGCCCCTCTCACCTTCTGTGACAGTAATTCGACCTCTTCACCCATTGATCGTGAACATAAAAGGTGTTTGTGCCTGGCTCCATTGTCTGACTGTGAGTACCAGCAGGATTTGCATCGCTATGGCGGAAAAGCTTTGATCATCTCTCAACCGGCCCCTCAAAACACTTTAACTACACAGCACACGTACACACGCACATCAGCCCTTTCACCTACTTTCTTTCTACATGATAAAATACACCAATGTTTATCAAATAGCCTGGTTAAATATATTCATATTAATCAGAATAACTCTTCTGCATGTGGTTTAGCTAGAAACTTGACATGGGTTTACAATTAACATTTTATAATGGCTTTGAATGTAGTTCATTGGATGTCTTTGACAGTTGTGTTGCTTTTTTGCCATCTCCGGGTTTAAAAACATAACAATGTTGTCTCTTTATCTCTCCCCAGAATTAAATGCTACTGTAAAGCATAATAATATTTACCAAAAATTGGTGCATATATACAGAAACTTTCTATCCTGGCTCTGATTCAGTTAATCATTATCGAATATTACCTCAGTTTGTTCTGCTCTGTCTTCGGTTTTGTCTTTTACGTTTTTGTAAAGTTGTTGTGTTGTTTAATCTGTATTTTTGATTATACTTTCTTGCACTTATCTGAAGACACAGGTGCTCAAATCAATAGCTACCCATAGAAACAAATAAGAGAGTAATGAGTAACCCCATGGCAACTAAACAGAACGGGGAAATATGATAAATACATGTTTTATAATAATGAAATAACAAAATTAAGCATAAATCCTATTCATGTATTAGTAATTGTTCTCTTTTCTTTCTGGTTTTCTCTGTGTAGGTATGCTATTCTTTGTGGACTCCTGACTGAATATGAGTCTATTCAGAATAAAATTAAAAATGGTTACCTTTTTAAGGTGAGTGTAAGAGTTTGTGAATATGTGTTTTTTGGCAGTGTTCTAGATGTTCTTATGTTTTAATGGTAACCTTATTGTACCTTATTGTAAAGTGTTACACCTTATTGTAAAGTGTTACAATAAGGTTCATTATTTAACATTAGTTAATGTATTAACTAACATGAACTAACCATGAGCAATACATTTGTTACAGTATTTGTTAACCTTCGTTGATGTTAGTTAATGATAATAAAGCTGTTCATTGTTTGTTCATGTTAGTTCACGGCGCATTAACTAATGTTAACAAGATTTTAATGAAGTATTAGTAAATATTGAAATTAACGTTTAGAAAGATTAATAAATACTGTGTAAGTGCTGTTCATTATTAGTTCATGCTAACTAATGTAGTTAACCAATGTTAACTAATGAACCTTATTGTAAAGTGTTACCGTTTTAATTGGATTACAAATATGTAGAGAAGGCTTTAAAAGCAATGGGTCTCATTCATGAAACACGGGCCGAACGAATTCGTGTGTAAATCGTGTGTAAAGTGGTTCTGGCGTAAATTTTCGGGTTCATTAAAATGTTCGTATTTTCCAAATGTTAGTTGGTACGCAAGAAATCTACACCTGCTCCCAGCCATGTGTAAATGGTGAGCTTAACACATCCGAACGTTTTGCTCATTAATAAGGCTGCGTTTTAATTCACCTTAATCGGGTACATATACAACAGCATTTTGAAAAAAATATTTTATATAGTAATTACATACGTTTTTTCTTTTTACTTTTATTGAGAGCCAGTAATAGCAGATCTGGTGATCGATGGCGGTCCTTCTCCAGTTTGAATACGATTTTTCCGAAGTGAACTAATTCGTTTTTTGCTGTCAAGCTTAATGTCAAACCATTTTCTTCTCACTTCTGGGACCGTTCGATTAACAGATGAAACTCCATTAACTGAATCTGTAATATGCTGCCAAACTTCCTTTTTTAGGACCTGATAGTCCATTATATACGCTTGAAAATAAAATATGGCGTTTTGAATGAACTTTTGATAATTAAACTTCAATTTCTGCATCAGAGAAATCTTTCTTTGTCATTCGCATTCATGTTATTATATGCCTATATATAGATGTCAGTCGGATATAATGGGCGGGATTTATGGTAATTGAGAATGAACGTGAACGCGCATCCCATTTACGACTGATTGGAATTCATTAACACACACATTTCACTATCACATCTGACGTTTACGAAGTATTTGTGAATCAGGAGAAGAGTTTTCAGGAAGGTCTCTTTACGCGCAAATCACTCTCATATTTACTCGTATATTTACGAATGTGTCATAAATGAGACCCAATGAACAAAACCGTGGTCTCAGCATAAGGTCATTTCAGTTGATTTCAGTGCTTGTATGTGTTGATAGGAGCTTAACATCAGCTTCTGTGAGAGTTAGTGTTCATAATCTTATCTGAGACAAGAGGAAATGGAATGAGGGTACCACACACACACACATTTCATGAGAGCAGATCAGTCTCTGATACAAGTAGCATTTTATCTTCGCTGTCAGCTAGATTTCCAAACACCACACACCTGCAGAGCACTGGCAGGTGATCTAGCAGAGAGAGAGAGAGAGAAGCTGAATGACAGATGTGTGTGGTGCGTTTTTCTGTGTTCGTGCGAGACAGTTCAGGAGAAATATTTGTGGCATCTCTACTGTAGAGATCAGCAAAAAAGACAAGTCGTGTCACAGTGAAGAAATCTCTCTCTATCTCTCTTTCTCAAGGATCATCTGCATAAAGCGATTGAGTTGAAACCTGAAGATCCTCTGTCATATTACCTGCTGGGCCGCTGGTGTTATGCTGTGAGTGACAGAACATTTGGTATATTTGTGATGTTGTCATAGTTAAAGTCTATATCAGGGTTCCCACAGTCATACAAATCCTGGAACATACATACTGTAACAACATTTTCCTTTCATTTATGTAAGCAATAACGTACGAGAGGCTGTGCTGTATCGTGAATAAGTAACGGCTGAAGGGCGTTTGTTCGCGTCGTGCCTGCAACCCCTTCAGCCGTTACTTATTCATGATGCAGCACTTGCCTCGAGTACCTTATTGCTTTTATAAAACGGTTGCCACACAATATTACAGTAAAAAACAATGTATTAGTGCAACTTTCTTGAAGTAAAATCACTAAAAGCCTTCCTTCCGCTAGAAAAAATAGTCCCTGAGCGTGGACAGCAACAACGTTCCAATGTGTAAAATGCATGAAAGATCAAATAAAAACAACATAGAACCGCAGTGATCAATAGAACCGTTGGGTAAGGCGGTCATAGCCGTGTTTTATCGTGAATAAAGCACAGCTCTTGACCAATCAGAATCAAGGATTTGAACGGTTTTATAAATAATAATATTTAATAAACTATTTAATAAAGGAACAGTTCTGCAGTGAATAAACACTACTCTTTAAAAGTTTGGGATTGGTAAGACATTTTTTAAATGTTGTTTAGAATTTTCTATTGCTCACCAAGTCAGTTATATTGTGATATATATATATATATATATATAGTTTTTAAAATGTCATTTTTACCATCATTACTAGTCTTCAGTGTCACATGATCCTTCAGATCCTTCTCAAGAAACATTTCTTATTATCATCAATGTTGAAAACAGTTCAAGTTCAATCAAGTTTAATTTGGTCAGGATTCTTCGAGAAATTGAAAACTCAAAAGGACAGCCTTCTTTTTTGAAGTATGTAGAGGAAAAAGTCTTGGAAGTTGATCTAAAATATGTGAACCCTGCTGTATTCTGACTAAATGACCGCTGCAAAAATCATTTTTAATTCAGTATATATATATATATATATATATATATATATATATATATATATATATATATATATATATATTTATATATATTGTGAAACATCCTTAAAATGAGATAATTAATTGCCTTATGTAATTAGCTTTTCACATAAATCGAATTTCTTGATTTAATGTGTAGTTCTTGTTGTTGCAGTGAATAGGCCTTATTTTCCATCTGCACATTGATAAGCTGAGTTCTTATTTATGATTCTCTTATTAACATGTTGTGTGTACAGGTGTCCCAATGTACGTGGATTGAGAGGAAAATCGCTGCTACTCTGTTTGGAGAGCCACCCAGTGCCACTGTCCAGGATGCCCTGCAGAACTTCCTCAAGGTAAGACGTGCGTCTGGTCACCTGCCCACACCTGGACAAGCCTCTCTAATCAACAGCCAAAAATTCATTAAATGTATGAGGTGTATGTCATTAATATTTAGATGGCTGTTATGACTGTTTTGTCAGAATTGTTTAAGCAATTGTAGCCATTTCTTCTTGTATTTATTTCATTCATCTATTACATTTTCAACTGTTTTTGAGGTTGAGATTTGCTTCTGTAGCTCCAGCAAACTCTGCAATGAAATCAACCAATCCAATTTCCAGATTTTGACTTCCACACTGCAAGCCTTAGAGCTCAATTCTGATTTGTTGCTCAGATCCTTATTTTTCTTTTGTTTGGCTGTTCACATTATTTTTTTTTTTTTAAATGTTGCCAATATCTGAGTGTGAACTGATCACGGCCCCGAACTGAAATAACATTAACAAGATAAAAGGTAAACAAAATTTACGCTTTCGTTTATTAGCTCCAGTAGTGTACCGTTGAAACCCACAAATTTATGCGCAAGCGATAAAGACATGTACGAGGATGAAAGAGAGAAGGAGAAAGAGAGTGTGTTTTTTTTTTTTTGTTTTTTTTTTAAATATAACATAGAATATTCGACAGGCAATTTTCGGTCCATTTTATTTTGCTTTACAAATTCGCTTCCACAAATTCAGTTCAGAAAATTCAACATTTCAACATCAAATTCGTCAGAAAATTCAACATTTGACATCCGAGAACGACAGGAATATCAGTAGATTGCCGATTGAAAATCTCCATAGCTGTTAGTCGTCCTCACCAGCAGGGGGTGCAAGCGGCTGTTGATGAACACTAGAGCAACTGGTGAGAGTCATTCATTCATAAAAGCAGATTTACAGAAATAGAGCAAGTTTAAGTATTTGTGATTATTATCAGGGCTAGTATATACTGTATATGAAAAAGATGATAAAGACATTAATAAAGAAGTTTTGCAATGAAAGCAGCTTTCTCTACCGTGAACCAAATTATAATGTTATTTCCCTGATGCTGATGTACAGATAAAACATTGAATATCCATGCCATTCTTTCTTCAGTTGAAAAGAAATTAAGGTTTTTGATGAAAACATTCCAGGATTTGTTGGTTCATTCAACGAACGAAATGAACAAATTGACTCGGAAAAAGATTTGTTAATTTTGATAGACGAGTTTGAACAGGAGTGACGAACGCACATCACAGAACAGAGCAAGGCGACCATTTGAGCTTGTAAAACTTAAACTTTGTTTTTTTTTTTTTTAAATGAGTGATTGTTTCGCTTGATAAGACCCTTATTCATCGTCTGAAATCGTTTAAAGCCCTTTGAACAGTTTGCCGTTTGCACTGAAACTGTCTTTTGGACCTTGAACCGTTTGGTTCCCATTGAATTTCATTATATGGAGAACAATGCTGGAATGTTTTCATCAAAAACCTTAATTTCTTTTCGACTGAAGACAGAATGACATGGACATCTTCGATGACATAGGGGTGAGTAAATAATCAGCAAAAGTTTTTTTTTTTTTTTTTTTTTTTTTTTGTGTGAACTACTCCTTTAACTTTTTATTGTGGTGCCAACGCATTCTCATCCCAAAGCGCCATATAGGACGCTTTTGCAAAAGCGTAAATATCCAACGCACATGGCACCCTTTAACGTCTAATGAGACGCTTCGGTTATGGTTAAGTTTAGGTATGGTGTAGGGTAAGGGTTAGACCACTAGCGGGCGCCTTCTGCCCAAATATATCTGCGTCTCATTTCACGTTAAAGGGTGCCATGTGCGTTGGATATTTACGCTTTTGCAAAAGCGTCCTATATGGCGCTTTGGGATGAGAACGGGCTCGTGGTGCTGTACTGCAGAACTGGGGATTCCCTCATCTGAAAGTGAATGGTGATTAGACCAACTTGACTAAGACTATCGCATATGCTATACTAATTTTCTTTTCATATTAGAATGATTTCCATTAAATATCATCACGCTGTCAGCGTGGCTTATGTTTTTAATTGCTATGTGCTTGCTTCCTTTATAGTCGCTATTTCTCGGGGGTCACAGTTTAAGTAACAAACCATGTTCATTTCTGAAAGAGCATGACCCGTGTTCCTTCATTCACCGTTTTTACATAACATATGTTGCTCTCTCCTCTGATGCTTTGTATCTCACCCATCACTTCTTATTTAAGGGGTTTGTGCTTAGACTTGTTGCACCCTGCCAAGACGACACAACATTCTGGAGAGTTATACAACAGCATGACTGATTAAAGGAGCAAAATATATCGTTCTTTATCATTAATCGTTAATAATTCAATAACTATAGAGAAAAAAATGGAGCAGCAGCGTATGTCCAAATAATCTCTTTATCCACACACTGAATGATCTATCAGAATACAGCATTATATGCTACATGGCCAAAAGTAAGTGGAAATCCCCTTCACAGTTATGGGTTTCAGCTACACCTATTACTAGTGCAGAGCATGCATACAATCAAGCATCGGTACAGGTGTGCATCTCCTTAGAGTTGAAATAAGATACCTCGTAGTGCATGATAATTCACAAAGCAAGTTTCATAGAGAAATGGGGAAAATTTTGTTTTATTTCCAGTGCTGGGAATCATGGAAATTAACAGTCCAAAAATGTTGGAAAAGTCATGTAGTTAAAAATAGATTTTCTCGATTATTTATATATATATATATATATATATATATATATATATATATATATAAATAAATAATCATGACCAACTAAAACATAATCTAAAAAAATCATGAAAAACTGTTTATCAAAAGGTGTATGATCCCTGGAGTTTACATTTGTAGAAAACATAAGCTCATATACATTATAGTCGCTAGTGCAATGTTTATATTTTGTGTGATTGTAAGTCTCTTAAATGTTGACAATTTTATTTATTGCTCTAATGATAGAGTGTTGGTTTACAACCTTCAATTGTAATTGTTTAATACCTCATTTAACATGCAAAATGTTGGAAAATTCGCCCTAGACGTTTGCCTGGCAGCAGTGCAAGCCTGCTTTAAAGAGATTGTGTTTTTCATGATCACATTTAAGTAACTACACCTGAAATACAAAAAAAAAGTCCTTTCGCATAAACAGCTGGGTTTATATTTCAATAGTCTGTTGTTAATCAATAAATTCAGTCTGACTGTGAAGGGCAGATTGTGTTTGCTTACTTTGTCCTGTGTTTCATTCTACAGGCAGAGGAGATCAGTCCCAAGTACTCGAAATTCAACTATGTGTTTTTAGCCAAGGTAATGACTCTTTTGTTTGAGGTTTTGACTATTTATGATCAATATTAAGTTAATGACATTAGTAATTTTTTTATTTGGGCTCTGTTCCAAACCTAGTGAGCTGTCTTGCTGTTTACCACCTACATAGATACAGGGGTTGGACATAATTTGTTAGAATGGTGAGGGCCTCATTTTGCATCCAAATACAGCACCAATTGACAGATAGAAGTCCTTCACAGTGACCAGAGGGATTATGAGCCGTTCCTCTTCCAGAACAGTGTCCAGGTCACTATATGATGCTGGTGGACTCGCTCCTCCAAAACACCTCAATAATATTCAGATCTGGTGACTGTCAGACCATGGGAGATGTTCAACGTCACTTTCATCTTCATCAAACCCTTCTGTCACAAGTCTTGCTGTGTGTGTTGGTGCATGATCATGCTGATACATGGTTTGAGCATCAGGTGCTCATGATCCTCCAGAAGGGTTTGGTAGTCCTCGGCAGTGTCGTGTCCATCAAATACAATCAGGATTGTCATGATGTTGGAGCTCAAACCATCACTGATCCACCCGTGCTTCACTCTGAAGATTGGCCGCCATGCATATAGATGTGAAACCTCCAACATTGGCCAGTGTTTCAGTTTCATTGTCCAACCCCTGTAGCTACTATGGTTGAACGACTTTCAGTTTGATCATTAGAGTCAACGTCAACTAGCCACTGATGACGTCATTGATCAACAAATTGACTCGGAAAAAGATTCGTTCATTTTGATAAACGAGTTCGAACAGGAGTCACGAACGCGTATCACAGAACAGGGCATGGTGACCATTTGAGCTTGTAAAACTTAAACTTTTTTTTTTTTTTTTTTAAATGAGCGATTGTTTCGCTTGATTAGACCCTTATTCATCGTCTGAAATCGTTTAAAGCCCTTTAAACAGTTTGCCGTTTGCACTGAAACTGTCTTTTCGCCCTTGAACCGTTTGGTTCCCATTGAAGTCCATTATATGGAGAAAAATGCTGGAATGTTTTCATCAAAAACCTTAATTTCTTTTCGACTGAAGAAACAATGACATGGACATCTTGGATGACATAGGGGTGAGTAAATTATCAGCAAAAGTTTTTTTTTGTGTGAAAACAGTGTCGTCATGCACATGCATTTTATGTGTTCAGTCTATAGGCGTGTAGTTTTTCTTTATAAAGTGACCGCCAACTACTGGTCCTTGTGAACGGAGATGGTTTTGAGAACATTTTCGTCTGTTCTTGAACAACTCAAAGGAAAAACCTTTCGATTTTTAGAACACCATTGTCATGTAAACGCACCCTAAGACGAGAACAGACCAAGAACAACTCAAACTGGGAGATGTTTATAAACAGAGTATAATAAATGCTGAACAAGGAACAGGTGAAACAAGTCAATCAATCAATGAGTGGAAACAAAGAGTTACAAACTAAAAGTCCAGGAAAATGAAACAGAAACAAAACTGAACTGAACATTACAATATCTTACTTGGGTAGAAACTCTTGTCATACAATATGATGGCCATATTACTTAAACTTACAACTTAATGGGACAATGTGTAGGATTTTTTCCCATCTAGCGGTGAAAATGTATTTTGCATTCAAACGAATTGTGCTCTCCAGCGCCTCGCTTTTTCGTTGCATCTACGGAAGCAATTATGTACCAAAAAGCTATGACAGGACGTCGTCTAATAGCACTTTGTCGAGAATGAAAAAATTTGATTAATTAAAAATTAATTGTAATTAAGACTGTAACATTGACTTCAGCATCTCTTTTGAAATCTTTTTCCTGCATTAGCTCTATCCACCTGGAAAAAGCTATCCCGACATTAACTCGTGTTTTTTGTAATCTTCGGTAACGTTTCCTTTTACGATCTATTTTGGACTTTTTGGGCGATGAAGATTTCTTCTCCTGTGGCTTGGCATATGTATGGTCCGCCATTAAAAATAAGTGCAATGCAGCTTTTAAAACTTGGGACAGTTACAAGCGCCTCTCACTGCTTTGCTCTTCCGTTTCTGCTGCTTTCAGTTACGTCACGCTGGCTCTGAATGAAAATGCGTTGTGGAAACACGTTGGCCTAGTACTTTTTTTCTCTCTCTGCTATTATAGTTTTTCAAGATGCTGGAACCACATGAAAGCCTCCATGGACCTACCTGCATGTTTATAAAGATCATAAATTCTTCATTTACGAGGATAGGTCAAATAATTGGCAGAGATGTTTGTACACCATTGGGGACATATTTATGGATAAAAATATTGATTTTAAATAAAAAAATGCAAAAAAGTACACATTGTCCCTTTAAAAAGAGGAAGAGAAAGACTGAAATCTCTGAAATTGTTACATTTTAATAGCATGTTGAATCTGACTGCTTCAGTTATTCTAAAATAATTGATTTTTTAGGCATGTTCAGCTAATGTCTGCTAATTTCATTTTTTATTTAACTGATTTCAGTTTTTGGTAATGAGTGAAGTACAAATAGATTTGCACTAAAATTTACAAGTTTTTAAAACTTTTTTTTTCTCAGCAAGGACTCATTAAGGGCACATTTGAACTTTCTATTCATAAACGATCACAGTTTACACAAAAATATGAACTAGCACAACTTTCCAACTGATAATAATAAGAAATGTTTCTTAAGCACCAAATATTCATATGATTTCTGAAGGATCATGTGACACTGAAGACTGGAGTAATGAGGAGAATTCATCTTTGCCATCACATGAATTTGTAAAAAATAGAAATAGTTATTTAAATGGTTATAATTTACATTACTGTTGTTTTTACTGTATTTTTGATAAGTGCTGCAATGGTGAGTATAACAGAGTTCAAACCCATTTTAAAAATAACACTGGCTGCAAATTTTTGAACATTATAGTAGATCCCATCCTAGATGATTTTCTTTTTTCTTTTAGAACAGCTTTTACATAAGCAAAACACACGTCGTCTACATAGGCAGCTCACTAGGTTTTTTTAACTGAGCCAGTAAAGCCTTAAAATAATTGAAGAACATTGAAATTGTTGATTGTAACTGCACCTACTGTATATCACTTTTCTCCTGTCAGTGTTACAAAGACTTGGGTCAGAGGAGTCGTGCCCGACAGATGTGTGACGCTGCCTCTGCGATGAGTATTGTGATTAAAGAGGTGTTGTTCTTATTCGCATGAATCAGATTTATAGTTAGCGTCTCTTGTCATTGTAATTATGTCAGTAACTGAATTATGTTTGCACTTTCTCAAAAGGACGAGGAGGCACAGAAGGAATTGGATTCTCTTGTTGCATCACTTTAATACGTCTCCAACAGAAGGGAAAAAAGGCTCTATGTCTTTGGGTTCCATCTCTTTAGACTCGACTGTGACTGGACTGTAGCCGTTTACCCACAAACCAACATATGAACTACCGGTATTAATGTTGGCCAGGACACGTGATTTATTGTGTAGCTATTAAAATGAACAATATACTGTATGTGTTTTACAGGACAGTTTCTTTTAATTTTTTTCTTTTCTTTTTCCCCCAAGGAACATTTTAGACATTAACAGTAATTGTTGCAATACACAACATGGCTGTCATCTATTGACAACGCCATGACTATCAGTGGCTGCCGTTAGAAGGAAGTTCACATTAATGATAACTTCAAAAGCCACAAAATCTTTCAGATTCTAGATAAATTAATCTTTCAGATTTTGTAAAAAGAATACAAATGTTTATAATTACAGTACTTTGTGGATTACCTGGGTGAAGTGACACTTGCAGCTTGCAACATATTCTGACCAAAAATCTGTTTGACCAGAATTAAAAGCATCCAATTACGTTTGTTTTAATGTGCCTTTTAGGGGCATGTTTTTGTGTGTACTTGTTATCAGGATTTCATCCAAAATTATTAATTTATCTAGAGATTAGTTCATAAAACAGCATGGCTATCAAGTTATATTTGTGGAATCTAGTTTACCTCCTAATAAGTGTCTGAAACAAACCTTTGAATATCTTTCGAAGAACTTTCAATAATTAGTTTGTCCGAAAAGCCGCTGATATTAATTAGACTGTGCATGAAAGCTGAAATTCTGCCATATATAATATTTTTTATAGCATGTATCTCCTTTTTACGGAAGAGGATTTGGGTCAAACAATAATAAAAAAAATAAAACCATCTCGAGATTAAAGTCATTATAATGCGAGATTAAAGTCGAAATACAATCTTGAGAATAAACTCATTAAATATAGAGAAGAAAGTCGTATTTCGAGAAAAAACTTGTTAAATTTCGAGAAAAAAGTTGTAACACATTTTGAGAATACACTCATTAAATATCGAGAAGAAAGTCGTTGTGTTTTGAGAAAAAAAAACGCGTTAAATTTTGAGAAAAAAGTCAAAATACAATCTTGAGATTAAACTCATTAAACATAGAGAATAAAGTCATTGTGTTTCGAAAAAAAAACTCGTTAAATTCCGAGAAAAAAAAGTCGAAAAACAATCTTGAGAATAAACTCATTCAATTTCAAGAATAAAGTCGTTGTGTTTCGAGAAAAAAAGTCACAATGAAATGTAGAGAATAACGCATTCGATCAGTTCACTGATGGCATGGCAGACATGGATCACTAGTCAAGCTATATTTTAGACTTTATTTCAGTAACAAAGAAATGCTATCAACTTTAGCAGTAATGTATTATATTTAAAAGTGTCGTTTGAGCCGTCACTTGAACAACTGCTGCATGAACAACGACAGAGACTATTTATATAGAGACACGCCACTTCCTCAATCCTTAATACAAATATATAGGGAAAACCCGTAACACCAAAGATGGCGGTTGTATGCACATGCCCCGCCCCTCCCGCTGGACAGCCAATTGTCAAGCTTTTAACAGTCAAGCCGGGAAACATTTAAGCCTATCGTCTGGTTCCACTGACATATGCACACAGCTGAGGTTTGCGACACCGGAAAATACGTTACTGTTTGAAAAGGCGGCAGATTTGATATACAGTGTATATGTGAGTTGTGTAAATATCAGACATCCCAAGTCTCCCCGAAGTTCCGGGTGTCTCCCGCAGATTGATAGCGGCTCACTGATGCTCGCAAATTAGTTCAAATCTCCCGGAATCTGGAGCGCGCACACACTGTGCTTCCAACCGTGCACCGCGCGTGTGACAGAGAGCGAGAGAACCCTTGCGCATGCATAGTAAAAGTATAACCTGTGGGAATAACAGTGTTTTAAACCTTATTTTGGGGCAAAGTCATCAAACTGAGATTTTTATTATATTTTACTGCTATTTCTATACATGCAGTTTTTATGTCCCGTGACCAGTGAAATTGCAGTTCTGACTCTGCCCATTAATTTAGATAGGAGCCTGGTCTTGTTAAGTCCAAAATAGCTGCTGGAGGAGTTGCCAAGATGGCGGCCGAGTGGCAAGACTTGCCTAAAAGGACTTTGACAACGAACAGGCCCAAATGCACTCTGGCATATGGACTTTGATCAATTAAAACCGTATGTACTTCATTATAGATGGTTACAGTCGTTACATTCTGTGGATGGAGGTTAGGTACACGACCAATGACGACCCTAATAGCCAGTTAGCTACTTCATAAAAACAGTTAGCCTACTGGCATACTGTACGTTCACAATGCTCCCGACTTGGGTTTCCAAAGCAGCCGGAAGTCATTCATTTTCAATGGAAGCTGGCTTTTCTCTGCTGCAAGGAGCGTCAAATCCATCGGCGTCACGTTTTGGGCGTTTTGAGCGTCAATCAAAAAGTCGAAAGAAGCTCAACTTTATGGTAATGAGCCGTGACGCGGTTCAGCGGCAAGCAGCGGCAAAACGCCAGCAACCAATCGGAATATAGATGTCCTTCACGCTGGCTGATTCAGGAGAAACAATGTAAACTTTCGTTCTGAGAAAATGGAAGAGAAGCTAATCATTGCGAATCATCGCCGTTGCTGTGTTTCCTACTGGTTTCGTATCATTTATGACATGACGTTGTTTGCTTATAGGGATTGCATGAGCGCAACTTTTATTTGAAATATTTACGAACGCTCGTTTTAAAGCGGGAATGCAATTAATTTGCTCACGGTGACACCGATTTGACCGCAATAATAATAATAATAATAGCTAACTATTTTTTTCCCGACCAAATGTGATCAAAATGGTTATAAAAATGCTTTCATTATAAAAGGATTCTTCAATGTATTGCTTTTTTTTTTTTTTTTTTTTTTTTTTTTTTCTTCTGTTTATTACATTTCATGTTGTGCCACTTCTATTCTCCCTGCAACGTGCTCAAAGCGTCCAAAGCGTCAACAAGCTTCCCCGTACTTTTTGACGAGCGTCCTTGACAGGGCGGGCAGAGCTTCTTTGACGCTCAAGTCGGCGGCGGTGTGAACGTACAGAGGGAGAGAGCTCCGCGTGGACATGGGGACGGAAAATGGTAGTGTGGCAGCAGCAATACAAAGGTTTTTACAAAGTAACCACGGAGACAGTTTCTCGAAACACGACTTTATTCTCGAAATTTAACAACATTTTTTCTCGAAACACAATGATTTTATTCTCGATATTTAATGAGTTTATTCTCAAGATTGTATTTCGACTTTTTTCTCGAAATTTAAGTTGAAGTTTAATCTCGCATTATAATGACTTTAATCTCGAGATGGTTTTATTTTTTATTTGCTTAGCCCTAATCCTCTTCCGTACCTTTTACAGGTGTTTTTTATTTTATTTTTTATTTTTTTTTTATGAATACCCTAACAGCTCCTTCTGGATTAAATCACTTATCGGAGTTCTCTTTGTGGAATCTGTATTGTTGTATCGTTTTTCAGTATGATATTTTAAAGAGACAACTTGGATGACTTGTGTACATTTTAATGAATTTACTTTTTTTTTTTTTTTTTGACCAAAGATAATCGCTAAACCTCTACATTTAAGAAATTATGGGGACCATGTTGGTGGAAGATTATGCTAATATTGTTTCATTTTTAGTGTTTATACGATCCAGCATTAAGAATGTAATTACTGTTTGTATGTTTACATGATTGCACTCGCTCTATATGGTAGCTACATTTTAGATGTTGGTGATCTGTACAGAACATTGATACTGTAACCGTGCATATGAAGATAATCACTTGATTGCTGCTGCTCATTACAATATACAATTAGGTGAATTCAGACTGCGTTGTGTACGTTGATCATTTTTTTATGTTTTAAATAATAACAATAATAATACATCACACTTGTATAGCGCTTTTTTGGACACTCAAAGACGCTTCACATGGAAAATAGAACAAAACAAAAACAAACATAAAAAGGGGTGTTGCTAAGGAAAAGCTAGTTTGAACAGGTGGGTTTTGAGTACTGTTTTGAAATTTGGCAGTGAATCAGAGTTTCTAATGGATGTAGGGAGTGAGTTCCAGAAGGTGGGGGCAGCAATGGCAAAAGCTTGATCCCCAAAAGTCCGGCGCTTTGTGTGGACGAACAGAGTAAGGCGGTTTGTGCCAGATGAGCGCAGGTGACGGGTGGGTTGGTGCTGTACTAGGAGTTCAGTGAGGTAGGACGGGGCCAGGTTATGGAGGGACTTGCTCAGTAAATCCACTTTGATATGGTAATAGGCATTTTGTTATCATTGCATAAACACTGTATTCTGCTCAGCAAATCCACTTTGATATGGTAATAGGCATTTTGTTTCTGATGTGCGTTGTAAGCACTGCAGTAGACCAATCACAACAGACTGGGCCTTCTGACCAATCAGAGCAGAGTAGTCTCTTGGAAAGGATGGGTTTTGAGAGACAAACTGTTTTCAGACTTCATAAATGTAGGTCAGGTAGTTTTCAGTCAGTATCATGCCTGTACACTCTTGTCCAGAGAGCAGCCAACCATAGGAAATGCCAGGAAGACATGATGAAAAGGGATGATTTTCAGGTGTCACGGGTGATATTACAGGGCATGCATACTGACTCACCCATCAGGTATAAATATAAATAACCTTTTCATGTCTGGACACCTGAACCAAGCACTGGGTTAATAATGTATTCAGCAGCAAACAGCTTCTAATTAGAGACTCTTCTGTACTGACATGTTTTATGTGAGTTGACATCATGTAATGAAAGGTAACGTCTAGGTTACTAATGTAACCCCCGTTCCCTGAAGGAGTGAATGGAGATGTTATGTCAGTGACTGACCAACTGGGATCTCACCTTATCACCTTTTACCCCTTTTCCACCAACAAGAACCAGGTGCTGGTTCAGAGATAGTGCTAGTGCCGGTTCGGAGTTGGTTCGACTGATGAGCTTTCAAAGAACCGTTTGCCTTTCCACAGGCTAGAGAGCCATCACAGAGCCAGATCTTACGTCACTGTATACATCTCATATTGCCCAGCAACGCTAGTGCGGCACACACAAACACACCAGGCTTGTTCGAGATGGTTTGGCACTGTGAATCTTGAACTGCGAGAACGATTCGAAAAAACATTTGAAAAAGATTTGATTCAAAAGCAGGAGGAGTCGTAAACTCTCCAAACACTCCCGCAGCTCCGATCAGTCCACGCTGCTCCGATGCATCTCGAACAAGCCTTCCATCAACAATGGCGGTTGTTGCGTTACTATTTATGCTCATGGCTTTGCAAACCTACATCAGTATCCAAACACGGCGAATCCAGCACGTCCGTGCAGTTCGCCATAACTTGCATTAACAGAGATTACAATCGAGCTGCTATTAGCATGATTAGCTGCTATTTAGTCACAAGTTTCTATTCGTCTTGTTGGTGAGCTAACCCCGCCCCCAGCCACTGACGTAAGCAGTTCTTACTTCTAGACCAGCAATGATTTGGTGCTACTTTAGAACCACTTTTACTGGTTCAGAGCTGGTGCTTTAGTGGTCGAAAAACAAAGAACTGATTTGAAACTAGGCTCTGGCTCAGAACCAGCACCAGCTCTGCCTTGGTGGAAAAGGGGTATTTGAGTGGTAACAAAACAAGCCAACGGATATTGGTGAGTGAGATTTGCATCGCAAACCAATCCCCATAACACGGGAAAGAAAGAATGCTGACAGTGTCCTGGCCGCTTAGCTGTGGTTAAAGGGATTCTGGCAACAGGACGTAACATCTTCATTCCCTCCTTCAGGGAATGGGGTTTACATTTGTAACCTAGATGTTCCTTATCTGTCAGTAATGTTT